AGAGAGAGAGAGAGAGAGAGAGTCACCAAAATAACAGCTTTGATACTATCTCTATCAATGGTAATACCAATCTTATCATCCTTGCAAACATCAAGCAAAATATCCACAAAATTCTCTCTTTTCATCTTTATGAACAGCAGATTGATTCATTATATGCTCTTGAATTACCATCTCCAAGAAAACATCAACTTCCCTGATCCCTCACAACTCTTTCCAATTTTCTCTCAAACCCACTAACCCAATTAACCCATTTAAGACAAGGAATAAAGTCCCCCACACTAACACTTCCCAATATCTCCATAACCTCCCTAAGCAGCACCAAAAACTTCCTACCATCTTCCTCCTCACCGTATCTCCTCCCGAAAGCCGCACGGCAAATCACATTGTTCGTCAACGACATAATCATTTCACTCAGATTAACAACCGAAAAACGAGCCGAACCGATCTTTTCCATCAGACGGGCCGTTTCTTGTTCCCTAATGAAATTAAATTCTTGGACCCTTTTGCCGCTCAGCAGATGCACGATACAAACGCTCTTCAGTTTTCTCCAATGCTCTCCGTAAGGAGCCACCGATATATCCTTCATGTTGTAAAAGATTCTCTTAGTTGTTCTCGAGTTGGGCTTGTCGGCAAATTCCAGATCATGCGTTTTCATGATCTCGCTAGCTGCACGGGCCGACTGGAGTATGATCACGGGCTTGCTGCCGAAGTGGAGGAGCATTAACGGGCCGTGTTTCGAGCCCAAGGATTTGAGAGAGCGGTGGGTTAGTAAGCTTAGCTGGTGAAGGTTGCCCAAGATTAGCAATTTTGGTGGTGAAGGAGGCAAGTTTTTGTTGTTATTATTACTCGGGTTTTCGTGTAGCCATTTTCTGATGAGGAGAAAATACAGTGAAAGTGAGAGTATTAAGGTGGTGAGTGTAAGGAGATATGGATGCAAGAGAAGTTCATTGATCTGTTTTTGCTCTAAAGTTAGCATTTTTCTTGCACAAGTTGTTGAGGGTCTGTTTTCTTCAGAAAGGGGCGTGTTTTAGTTTTTTACATTGTAAATTGTAATTAGTAATTACTGGTTTGAATAAGATATTAATAGTTGATGATAGGCACATGCAAGTCTTTCTTGGACAGCACATTGTGTCAAAATTATGTAGTAGTTGGCTAAATCACAGATATTGGAATCTTTATATATATATATAAATTGAATATTTTGAAGTTAGAAAGAGATGTGCTACCTAAGACACAAGTTGGTTTAAATGAATTCAAATTGAAAACTGCAAGTGTACATATTCTCTTGCTCTATGACTTCATGATTTTAATTTTTTTTTACCTCCTTTCCTTTTGCTTCTCACATAATTTATTTTGGTTCTATAGATTTATAGTTTTGTGCATGTTCTGCTCGAAAAGAACGAATAGTTACTGGAGTTCACATCCCGGACTCCTCGGAAGTCGAATTTTCGCAAAAATAAAGCTATATCGATTAGATATATCGAAATTTCGCAAAATCATAGGATTATAACAAAAGAAAATGGTGGAGGGATAAATTTTGAAGTGTTGTCAAATGGTTATCTTGTTTGTAGTCACATTTTGTCTTGATTCAATGATGGTATAATGCAAAATGGTTTTGAATTTGAATCTATCATACAATTCATACAAGATTCCTCTTGGTCAAAAAACCATACGTAATGATTTTGAACAACTTAAATATGCTATTAGAAAAGAGAAAGAACGGTGATAGGATAGGAACAAGAAGATAGATATATCCCTTTCTTGTTTCAAGTTTTTTTTCAAGAATTCTCATCTTCTGAGAGAATAACTTATAAGTATGTAACTAACTGGTGCATTTCAGAAACACATTATCCAACTTAAAGAGCATATATATAAAAAAAAAAAATGGCTTTTGCTCGTAGCTTGATCATACCTCTGTTTATTACCTTAATCTTGTTCATAATCTTCCTTAAAAAATGGCGGTCGAGCTCCCACTCGGCTCGAAAAAACATGCCGCCATCTCCAAAAGGACTTCCGTTGATCGGAAATATCCACCAGCTTGGCACTTCCCCTCACCGTTCGTTGCAGTCTTTATCGAGAAAATATGGTCGCGAGCTGTTGCTACTACATCTCGGGCGAGTGCCCGTGCTTCTTGCCTCGTCAGCAAATGCCGCGCGAGAGATAATGAAAAACCAAGATGCTATTTTTTCGAACCGGCCGAAGCTAAGCATCCCAAACAGGCTGTTATACGGTTCGAGGGACATGGCTTTTACTCCTTACGGAGAATACTGGCGACAGGTGAGCAAAGACTTTAGTTAGTCGAACAACACATGGACATATGCGTTTTGGCAAAACTGCATTTTTAGTCCTGGTTTAACGCCACAACAATTTTACTCATAATTTCTAACATTTCCACTTTTTGTCCTGTGATTTAACATATTGCTGCAATTTCAGCCCTTTAAGACTGAAATTGCAACAAATTCTCAAATTCACAGATTTTCGATTAGCCATTGTAAATTAAAATTTTGCTGCAATTTCATTATTTAATTTAAAATTTCATTGCAATTTCAGTTCTGACAGCGAAATATCAAATCACATGACCAAAAAGCGAAAAGTTGTAACCTTGTGACCAAAAAGCAAAAAGTTGTAACCTTGAGACCAAGAACAAAATGCATTTTTGTCGCGTTTTTCTAAAACATTGTAAAGATTCATGAAATGAAAATGCATCATCATCATGCTTTATTATAAGGTAAGAAGCATATGCGTGACGAATCTCTTGAGCAGCAAAAGGGTTCAATGTTTTCGCCATGTGCGCGAAGAAGAAACCTCGGCAATGGTCGACAAAATCAGACAGTTGGCATCTTCTTCATCATCGTCGGTTATCAACTTGAGCGAAGTTTTCGCCTCGCTATCAAGTGATATCCTCTGTAGGGTGGTATTAGGTCGAAAATACAGCAACGAAAAAAACCGTGAATACGAAAAGTTCAAGCTTTTGGGAGAGTTTGCCAAGCTATTAGGCGCCACGAGCTGGGGGGATTACATACCGTGGTTGAGTTGGATTAACCGAGTAAACGGTTTGAACAAAAAAGTGGAAAGAGTTGCTAAACAGTACGACTCGTTTTTGGAAAATGTGATTCAAGAACATAAGGAACGTGGAAAAAAACACGATGATGATGATGATGATGATGATGGAGAGTTGGATTTCGTGGATATATTGCTAGAGCTTCAGAGGAAGAACGAAGGCGGCTTTCGCGTTGAAGATGAAACAATCAAGGCTCTTATTCTGGTATTTAATACTTTATTTTCGTCTATTTACGACCAAAACGAACAGCAAAAAACTATTATTTTTTACGATCAAAACGTGACAAATTCGCAATTAATTACAGGACATGTTTGGTGCGGGAACAGACACCACGGAACTGACTTTAGTGTGGGTGTTAACCGAGCTCATCAAGAATCCAAGAACCATGAAAATCCTACAAAATGAAGTGAAACACATAGCCGAAAACAAGAAAGGGATAATAGATGAAAGCGATTTAGACAAAATGCCGTACTTAAAGGCATCGATTAAGGAGTCCTTAAGGCTACACACACCCGTCCCATTGCTCATCCCTCGTGAATGCACTCACGACACGGAAGTCTTGGGCTATAATGTATATGCCGGGACACAAGTCTTGATCAACGTGTGGGCCATTGCTAGGGACTCGGAATCGTGGGAAAATCCCGAAGAGTTTCGACCCGAGAGGTTCTTGGACTCGGGAGTTGACTTTAAGGGAAAGGATTTTGAGTACATCCCGTTTGGGGCAGGCCGAAGGGGATGCCCAGGGACTGCATTCGCGGTGGCTGTCGTCGAGCTCGGGCTGGCCAAGTTGGTGCACCATTTCAAATTTGCATTGCCTGATGGAGAAAAGGAAGAGGATTTGGATATGGGTGAGACTGAAGGATTAACTCTTCACAAAAGGCTTCCTTTGCTTGTGGTTGCCACTCCTTTTGATCGTTAGTTCGAAAATTCGTGCGCATTGTCAAGTTTTTCGCCGTTATATCACACTTAATTATGTCAACAGTGGTGGGCTTTTTACCGTTTGGTGCGTCTTTTTACTGTTCCAATGGTAAAAACCCGGCATTGTTGACATGAGCGCGAGTTGATGTAACGGTAAAAGACTGGTACTGTATCACCGATAGAATCAAACTACTTGTTAGCTGTGTGTGATCTAACGGTAAAATAGGGCGTGGGGCATTTTCATCATCCTTAGAATCGACTCTACTTTGTTATGTGTTCTTACTGATAGATAGAAATGAATCTTGTTAGTTCTATTTGTTTGTTTGCAGAATACAAGAATAAGGCCAGTAATAATAAAATAATCCAGCTTTTTATTTATTTATTTATATTGTGAGCTTTGGCACCTTGTTCAGTACTATTCACTTGTTTATTGTTTATTCTGGAGATCTGTGAAGTGAACAACAGTCAACATACAATAGAAAACTCGCAAAATGATCGTGTTTAGAGTTTTCTTTTTGCTCTGTTTTTTGCCCCTTTTCTCTATCGCTGAAGAACACGCCGGAGAAAAATGGCGTACGCCGCCGTGGTTTCGCTCGGCCAAACACTCGACCTTGTCCTCAGTCCCAGTCGCGACATCATTCTACACGACAGCAGAGTGTTGAGTTCCCTCCGCGAGAAAGTTACGATCTTGCAGGATTTCATGGAAAAATCTGGGCAATTGGGCGACGAAATCGAAACCCTGTCGGCGAAAATCAGAGACGCCGCTTACGAAGTGGAAGATATGGTTGAAACGAAGGTATACAAGTTTAAATCCCGAACCCCTTTTCGCATACCACACTTCACGATAAACTCCTACGCGAAAGCTCTTGCTTTTCTTCAGATCATGTTTCCCTTTTCTCGTGTACACGAGCTTGGGATGAGTCGTATGGGAATGATGTTCCGTTGGCCGTACAGTGGTCTGGATAAATTGTGCAAACAATTCGACTCGATTTTGGAGGAATGGGAAAAAAATCGGGAAAATGATGCACAAAATGTGAAGCCTAGGGTTTATCTTTCTTCTGGACAGAGTTCCATGATTAATTTCAGTGAAAATAATGTTACGGCGGGTCTTGATGATGATTTGCTGAGAATAAAGGACAGACTAACCGGATTCAGTTCACGGCTTGAGGTCATCCCGATCGTGGGTATGGGCGGCATAGGCAAGACTACTCTTGCTCGGAAAGTTTATACGGACCCACTCGTCGAGTACCATTTTGATGCCCGCGCGTGGATAACGATATCTCAAACGTATAATGCCTATGACATTTTGGTAAAGCTTCTCGATTCTTTGGGGAAGCTCACGGAAAATATGCGTGAAAAGGGAGATGGCGGGTTGGCCGAGTATGTTTACAAAACTCTGATTGGCCGGAGGTATGTTATTGTGATGGATGATCTGTGGACCACAGATGCTTGGGACGAATTCAGAAGGTTCTTTCCAGATAACGATAATGGTAGCCGGATCATTCTGACCACAAGGCTGGAGAGTGTGGCTCTTTATGCTGGCTCTCATGGCCTTTTACATCGTATGAACCTTCTTAGTGATTTTGAGGGTTGGGCTTTGTTTCGTTCTAAGGTGTTTGGTGAGGGAGTTTGTCCTGGTGAGTTTTTGGACGTTGGGTTACGTATTGCGTTTGGTTGCAAAGGGCTTCCTTTGGCAATTGTTGTGATAGCCGGGCTTCTGTCTAAAGTCGAAAGGACACTCGTAGAATGGGAAAAGGTGGCTGATAATTTACGGGGTAGTGATACATGCTTAGATATATTACGGTTGAGTTATAATAATTTGCCGGAGCACTTAAAAGCGTGTTTCCTTTATATGGGAGCCTTTCCGGAGGATAGTAAAATCTCGATCTCCAGAGTCGTCAAATTATGGGCTGCCGAGGGGTTTCTGAAGCAGAGTGGGATGAGGACCTTAGAGGACGAGGCTCTCGAGTGCATCTTGGAATTAGCCAAGAGAAATCTAATTTCTGTCTCTAGCAAGAGGGAGGGAAAAATTTGCGGCTGGGTAAGTATTATCAGCATTCACGATCTTTTACGGGACTTGTCCATTAGAGAAGCACGAAAGGAGAAATTCCTTCATATTGTGACGAATCATGATTGTGATGATAATCCACTATGTGAAAACCAAATCCGCCGGATAAATGTTGATATGGAAATTCCCACTGCTCATCCCTTTTTCGAGTGCCTTAACCGTTACCATTCGGGGTCGATCGTGCGTTCTCTTGTGTACTCTGGTGGGCATCCGATCCCGTCTTTCATGTTAGGCGGTTTCAAGCTACTCAGGGTTTTGGACATCGCTCGGGTTCAATATTTCGAGTTCCCGACAGGAATAGTTGCGCTGTGTAACTTGAGATATCTTGCGCTCTCATATCATGGGGATATTCCCGAATCGATTTCCAAACTCTGTAATCTTCAGTGTTTGCTGCTATTCCCTCTGTTAAAAACCTTTGCTCCTTGCCCGAGGCCTTTGCCGTTAGCCGTTTGGTCGATGCCACGATTAAGGCATCTCAGGTTCCACATTTGGTATCTGGCAGACTTCCCTAGCCTGCTACCAGGGTGGAAAACCTGCGCTTTTCTTGAAAACCTGCAAACACTCTCGGAAGTAAGTGTTTCTTTTTGCAAGAAGGAAGTCCTCCGAGAAATCCCAAATTTGAAAACATTAGGCATCTGGATGGAAAAATGGGACGTGGCGCCTTTCTATATTAACAATCTCGCCTGTCTGGAAAAACTCGAAACATTGAAATGCAGCGTTAGGTCTTTTCCTGACCAAGAAACTCTAAACTGGCCCATTTACGATTATACCCCGAGCCTTGCCTTCCCCGTGGGACTTAAAGAGTTGACTCTGAGAGGCTGCAGAATTCCTTGGAAAGATATGTCTGTAGTAGGATGCTTGCCGAGCCTTGAGAGGCTTAAACTGAGATATTATGCTTTTGTCGGGCCAGAGTGGGAACCGGTCGAAGGTCATTTTAGTAACTTAAGTTTTTTGTTCCTTGAAGGATTGGATTTAGTGCGCTGGAAGGCGGATAGTGTTCACTTCCCATTGCTTAGACACCTTATTATTGAGAACTGCCGTAAACTGGACTCTATCCCTCACGGCATTGGAGATATATCGACACTCGAAATGATCGAGCTGGATAACTCGAGCCCTTCTGCTGTGAGTTCGTTGAAGGAAATTTTAGAAGAACAACACGACTTGGGAAATGATATCCTTAGCATTCGCACTTATCCGGTTGGGACTGCCAAGTTCAGTTAGATAATGAAGATGTGATTCTAGGTTATATTTCCGGAAACAATTTCCTATGATAGCTTTGCGTTGTGCTGGCAATTTTAGGCCTGGCAAG